CCAACTTTGTGCACAATAGACGGATCGATTGGATTGATACTCAAGGTACTCTTGTTATTTTGTAAGAGCCGAACTTTAGTGCCACACTTGACTATCGTAGCACCGTCTGTGAATCACGTTATTAACATGAACTTTGCCTCATATCGACCAAGAGTATCCATCAGAATTGTTTATTATAAAAATATCTATTATAGTTCAGCTGTTATACTGCCTTTATTTTGAGCTATTCTAACATACATTACATTCGATCTAAAACCGCATTTATTATCTGCTACAGTAGAACCTGTCTAAACTAAACCTGTTTAATGTAAAACCCTTTCTAAATTGAACAGAACATATGGACCCATGTTGACCACCATACCTGAATTGATAAGTATGTTACCCTTTTTTATTTAAAACCCTTTCTAAATTAAACACTGTCCACCAGTCCCAATATGTTTAATTTAGACAGGTTTTACTGCAGTGATCTTTGCAATGATCAAGCGCCAACTCTAAATAGACATACGGTTTAAAAACTCCATGTGTTTTTGAATCATGAAAATTAGGTAGAAAATATAACCTTGATGACTCTAGATTTTGCACCGTGCATGAGGCGTCGTAATAGTCGCTGGTGAAGCGTGGCTGTGTTTGCGTTAGGACGAGAAAAATGACGACGAACAGACAGACGCGAAGCAGACGCCGTATCGAATTATCTCAACATAAGGAAGACTAATGGTGATTTTTTGGCAAAAGAGATGTAGTATAACTGATCCCGGTACGGAAGAGCCTAACTCGCCCCTCAACAGCAAACAGATTTGGTTGCGGCTTCTGCATTTTGGAAGATCCAGTTTGGAAGAATAATACTTTAAGACAATCTTTAGCTTTGTTATCATCCATTATTATGCTTGAAATACGAGGCTAGCACCAAGCTGATCTGAGGTGAATGAAGAGCCTATGACGTACCGAAGTATAAGCTGAGTCAATACTACGCAGGCGGTCTATAAAGTTCAAGTCGACTTAATGCACTGGCAGAACTGACGAATGCTCGCTCATTTGGCGGACAATTTATTGTTCGTCGGTGTTAAGAAATTTACTAAAGCCGTACAGTATCATTCCTTCTCTTGATTGAAGTATGCATTGATTGCGAAATCAGGTTGGCAACTACTAAATTAGAAGTTCGACTTGAGGCCAATATTTAGTAGAAAGTTGGTTGATGTATGTATCAAAGTATGACAATTTGCTTCAGATATCAAATCGATGACTTTGACAAAATGATCTGCTTCGTCTGCATGATCCAAGAACTTACGATTCACGGATGAAGAGATTTGAAAGACTATCACCTGAGCGCTGGAAAATCTTATCGGGCATTATATCGGTTTAGTACTCATTGGTCCATCGGTCTCAGTCAAGTATAAGCTGGATCAGAGAGAGTCGTTTGATCTCAGCACTTTGAAACTCAAAGCCAACATCCGGTTTTGCAAGTCTTGATGACGATGTCGGCACGGTAAAAGAACACTGAAACGAACGATACTTCTGATTGATTAGATTTACGGACAGAAAAAAATCTTTGATTGTTGTTGTTGTTGTGTATCTGGAACGGAGCTACAGTGCACTTAGCAAAGAGGAAGTTTCGTTCTAAGAGTTTGTGTCAACAAATCCACAGAGGTTGGGCTCACACGATCTTACCGAAAGCGATCCAAGAACCTCTACTGTAACTAGGTATCTATATAGCTCCCCTATTTTCAAGTGTGCATTTTGTGTGTGGATGATACTCCCGAGTCGATCTTCCCCAAATCTTGTGAAACATTTCCTCCATGAGGATCATACCCCGGGTGTGTGCCACTCACAGGTGTGAAAAGTAGCCTGTGTATTGATTCAGCCCTAAACTAAAACGCTCATTTTTCCACCGTGCCGCAACTTTTGAATAAATCTCCTTGATAAATTCTGCGATTTCGGCGACTTCTTCCCACAAACGCCACCATGAACCTTAGAGCCATTGTGGTGGGTGCTCAGAATTGGCCGAAAATGCCCACAAGCGTTCGATATTTGGGAATCCATGCGCCCATTTGGTCGGATTCAGCACCCAGCTCAGGGACTAAATGGTTCGTGGTATTGTATGTGGGACAAACTCAGAATTGGTCGGAAATGCCCACAAGCGTGAGAAATCGATGCGCCCATTTCGTCCATTTGGTCGGATTGAGCAACCAGCCCAGGGGCTTAGTGGTTCATGGTATTGTCCATAGGAATAAGATGCCGACGCTGAAAAATACATCAAGGAGGATAATTGATTGCTACGGCTGTGTGCATGAGACAACGTTTTAGTTGAACTTTCGTATGTCGAGAAACCGAGAGCTCCAACACGAGCTTCAACAATCGTCTTCGTAATTACGAGCTTCAACAATTGTCATCGTAATTTCGGCGAAGCAATGGTCTTATGGAATGACGCGCATCCATCATTGACGATTCGTCAAACCGGGGTCTAATATATTGCATCTCGCAATTCAAAGATACTACTAACGATTGAGTCATTTCTTGTGCCGCGGTAAATTTCTAGTCGCTCGCTTATTCGGAAAATCCACTAGATTATCATCTATCCGTCAATATATGCAATGATATGCTTTCCACAAACGAAAGATTTATAAAAGCAAAACGGAGAATGGCGTCCATACCAAACTAATGCATAAACTAGCCGGGCGCCTCTTACCTTGCGTGAGGTAATATTACGTCGTACTTGATCAAAGTGTAACAATTTTAATTGATTTTTAGATACATAAGATTATAAAGCCTGCCCAATTACACATTTAACACTTTAATGGCGGCCATACTGTCGTACAAACCTATTTTGGCGATATGACCGCTCCACGAGCAATCATTGCCTTGCACTAACGTGCTCGCTTTCGGAAGCATAGTGTTCATTCTCGCATACTTAACCAAATCGCTCAAACAATCGCGAATAAAGGCCGGTCCTTGCGACAAATGCGTTTTAAGAAACACACGATGAGGTTGTTGAGGTCTTCAATGAAAAATGTCTTACTGACTTCACGATCGTTGATAAATCACTTCCGCATTGCTTAATAACGTGCTCAACCTTGCAAAGCTCAAAGCACGTCGCGAACGTCAAGATAACAACCAATCATCAAAAGATTTGAGTGTTTATAAGTTGCTCGTCTTCATTGAACAGCTACCCCGCGACTCTCTCGAAGAGAGAAATCATGCTCCCACAACGCGAGAGAGGGGTAGACTATCATCGGCAATATTTGATGAACAATAATCAATAGGCTGGCGGATATACCAAAACTGTTACAAGTAGTTAATGAAGATATGCATATCGTTAATTTCAAATCTCATGGGAGTTTGAGGTTCCACATCGGCAAGGTTGCCCTGGTGCCGCGGCCGCATACGACGCGGCGCATTCTCGTTCTTTACCTCGATTAGAGAAGCGTCAGGGACGCTTGTCGCTACTAGTGGTTGGCACTTACTTTGCACTGTATCAGATTCTTGGTCGGTCACTGTAAAAGTTGTCTCATGAGAGCTAACGAAGCTGCAATCAGCTAGTATTTGAGAGATAAAATGTTATCTCGGCGTTCCCGTAGTGCTTTCTACTACGCAAAGTCAAGCATTAGACGACACTTTAGACAAATGTCCGCTTCCCTGAATAATTTAATAGCCTTAAGACAGGTAAGACGGTGTGTTCCCTCATCGAGTGTTCTGATACTCGCCGACTTGGTCGCCAGCTTGAAGTGCTCGAATTTAATCACGGATTTCCCCAACCGCTGCAATTCTAGGCGCAAGTTACTTCTGGGAACTGATCACCTTCCTAAGGTTTCTAAAAGCACTAACCGAGCGACTTGCACTCGTTTTGCTCTAAATGTGAGTAGCAGGCTCACACTTTAAGTTGTGTAACGGCTAAGCACCAGCGCGGTGAGGGGGTCAGACGGATTGGAGCCGTTATCACAGCGAGAACATTTGGGTTGGAATTTTGGGCTTGCAGAAGAGTAAGCTGAGTTCCTAGAACCATATCCAGTTTTCTGCAGTGCAAATTCAGGTTTTCTGTAACATACACAATATCGAAGAGATAATGATGCCGCGCAAACGAAGTGTCTAAATTAAATTGATTATTGCAAGAGCGTGACTGCTCATCCTGTCTCGAGAGCGAGTCACCTGTTGGCTACCCGTCATCCGCAACTTCGCGCACACACTTTCTTCATATATTGATCGTGAGAGATCATTGATGACATCGGTGTCAACTTATGCATCGATTTTCCCCACTTGACTTCAGCTGTGCACCATAAGTCTTATATTAAAAAACGCACATTTGTGTGCTCGAAATTATCGAAGTCGCATTGGTAAAACGCGAGGTTTAGATAGTCACGTAAATTTATACCAACAATAAGCAAGATGAGGTACCACGATCATATGCTCTTTGTACTTTACTACTGTCAAATACACGGCGGGAAATCAAAAGTTTTGGTTTCAAAAGCGCGCCAGCCAGTTCCAAATGCCTCCGCTGAATCGAAAGTGCATGGGCAGTTCGTCCATGAAGTGTTTATTTTGATTAAAGTTGCGTTGGTAGGGGAGAAGTGAGTGTATCTAACTAGTCATTTCTACACGTACATGGTCAACATGCCTAACATTTGGTAATAACAAAATCCAAGTATCATCACCGCTTGATATGTTCAGGCTTTGTTCTCACTTCTGGCATAGATGTCTTGACCGTTCGTAGAACTTGCATCAAACTTACCAGTAATTGCCGTTAGTTGGTACGATGACGTGGTACCGTACTAACCACGCAAGATCGGTAGAAACGGATTTTGCGACTGTGATGTACTTGACGCTTAAAGACGTTCCTTCTCGGATGCTTTTTTACATCAAAGCCGCTACAGATGGTTCTAGTCTATTGGCAGATACAAAAATTGCACTAAAGTCGTATACTGGAGTGAGCACACACGTTCTCTGTATTCGAAGACTGCTCATAAAATATCTTTCGAGGGCTTCGGAAAATATGTGTCCAAATAGATATAACGGCTTCGTAATGCCTACCACAAATAGGAATCGCTGCTTGTTCTTATCAGTCATACGCTCTCTAGAATGAACAGCTCGAACGTGTTGATATTTACTCGCATAGAACAACGATGGAACAGCATCCAAGTAGGTCGTCAAGGCTCATATTCTGTTGAGCGTCTTGAAAGCTTTGATTACTACTGCAAAACCACCTCCTTCACTCGCGTGATTGTCGTTTGTGTGTTGACACCGCTGCCTGCTGTTCTGGTGACAGTTCTTTTGGATTGCCTTCCGCTACGCCCTGTATCAGAAGGGTGGAGCGCGAATTGGATATTCTGGATTCGTATGACTCTAACAATGTTTATATTGGGTGGGGTTGGCGTTTTGGAATTTGCAAAATTTGTCCCGGTCTTGCAGATGTCGTCCATGCAATGCTTGATCATGGTTACCTTGATTACTGTCCTGTTAATGGCAACTTTGATATCAGCATCCAGCGTGATTGGTTTTCCTATTCCTTTTGTTATACCTCTCGCAGGTATGATGTCCGGATTCTATGTTTCGATAGCAGTCTTGCTCGTGTTGGGCAAGACACCGTTTTTAAGAAACTCTCCTTGTTGGCCATATCTTCGGCGTTACCAACGATATTCTTCTGCTTGTGTGACCGTTGCGGGTTTATTTCCATTATTCAAAGCGTTTAAAGATTTGGTGCCGTCATCATACCAAGGTTTTACAGTCGTAATGCTGTTAATGTGGAAATTCGGTGCAAGATATTATATTGTCAATGCCACGCGCGATCTTGAAGATTTGATTTCGCAAAGCGTGAGCTTTATGGCTGATCTTTTTGGCTCTCTTTTTATTTCTGTTTGCATGTCAAGCTCTTCATCCATCTATGTATCTGCCCTTTTCATTATTGCAGATATTGGACAGACGCTACTCGAGTTCCACGAGCTTCAGACTAACGCAAATATTTTGGTGGCATTGCTGGATCGTAGATATTCGACAGCGAGCATTCGTCGATTAAATATATCATTACGAAGGCCAAATTTATCAGCAGTGATTCTTGAGGTAACGCGAAATCCAGGTGCGAATAACATTACCGTATTGCACGGAGTGCGATTAGAGTCATGTCTTCCACATCCTCTTCCGGACGATCGATTTCAGCAGCTCCAGACCCTTGCAGCATCGGGTTCGTACTGTCACAAAACTGAATCTAACAGAGCAATCGTTCGTCACCAAAGCACGATCATGCTTCGTTTTCTTCGTCAATCTTCAGTGCTACCATCAGGACCAAGTGCTATACATGTAACAACAATGCTATCGACTGACACTGCTAATCAGACTACATCAGAATGTGGAGATGCCGATACAAGAATGAGTGAACAATCAGAAAAACTTGTCTTACAAGGACTACAACTTTTATTTCATTGCGAGTATGTGGCTTTAGTGGAGTATATTGAATGCTTTGTTCCGATGGTCTATGTCTTATACAAGTCCATACTTGAGCTGCTTCCAAATGTTGCTTACTATCCTGGTGGTGCTGGTAAATGGAACCAAAATTCTGTCATGAACATCTTGCTGTTTGCTTTATTGGAAGTAGGATCATTTTTCGTAATGAGTCATATTTTCAAGCGCAAGTTTGAGCTCAGTCCATTGTATCAGGTTGCTTTTGTGCTGGAGACCCAAATGATCTGCATTCAACAAAAATTATTCGCTTTGATGTTGTTTGTATTAACGTACGAGCTTGCTCATTTTGGTACGATAAGTAGCTCTTTGTACTTGTATTAACCTCACCTAACATTGTTAATACACTACAGGTGTCGACTTTACCTTTCACTTTGCATGGTTGAGATGAAGGAAGGAGTAATTGGACGCCTTAGTAATTTTGCTGGTTCACTTCCCATTAGCACATATGCCCTTTTCTATGGATGAAAGCTTTTGGAAGTGACATACTAAATGTCAAAACTCTACGTGACTATCTGGATAGTGACAATTGTGCTATACTTTTTGTTTGTGTTGTAGCCAAGCAGCCGGTTTATACTATCTCAGTCTGGTGTAGATGCCCAATAAGTTCTGTCGTTGCTGTCGCTCGCTTGAAGTTACCTGCCGATGTAGCTGCCACTTAATGTCGCCTAGTGCATGATAATATTCCAGACGACATACTGGCAAAGTACTAGTCTAGCCGATTTCGTAAGTGCTTCGTCTTTCGACGCTACAATTGGAAGTAATATAATTGCCACTGTTCTAATCATGTGATACTTTATCTTGCACAAGTCGAACCTTGTGGTAACACTTGACTAGCTGCATACACGTATCAAACAACATCAAATAGAAGTTTTTTTGGTTTCAAACCTAACGCAACGTTAATTATGACACTGTGCGACCATGCCGCATTCTTTCCGTTCGATGCAATCAATCGCCTAATGACTAAGGTTTGCAGCGAAATAGTATGATATTATGAAGCCTGGGTTACTAAAGCAGCCGCGAAAGCTTTGCTGCGAACGTGATTGCAAAGGCATGTGAAATCAAGAAATGGATGGTGCTCTGTTGTCTACAGCTACGTCTGAGCGCACATTTTCAGTCATTCCCTCAAGTTTTCGCGGTACGAAGATATCTTTCAGCTTCTGTGATTTTTTGATATATTTACGTTGTGATCTGAAGCAGATTGTTGGTGATTGTATTCGTTTCTTAGCACCTGTTTGAAAGATATGCTATGTTAACGATGAGAGACGTCATGTTTAGCCTTACCATCAGTTAGTTGATATCGGCATTCGCATTCCGAAACTATACTAGTAACAGCACCATTTATTTGTTCGAGAATAATTTTAAGGAATGGATGACAGCGCGGTCAAACTGCGTATCCTGTAATTATTTAAGGCGGCCAGTCGGGTACACCTGCAACTGAAAATTATTGCCTGACAAAACCATACAGAACTCGCATTTGGAATCGGGAGAAGCTTGATAGTGAGCCACAAATTTACCACGCAAGGCAAAAGCATACCACTTACCCACTCCGGAACTAAAGTTGTCAAGTTTCCATAGAAAAGCTATTGCCAAGAGCAGTAGGGCTTTAAGGCCGCATAAAAAGTATTGTAATGCATTTATACTCAAAAAATGTAGAGAGTAAGCCAATTTTGACAGACAATCTTTTCAGCAGCAACACGAACATCACTAGAACAACACGAAGCACAATCTTGGTTAAATAGGGTGGCACTACTCTTTAATCTACACCTCTCGTGTGCAAAACGAATCGAAGAGTGTTAAAGACGCAAAAGTAAAGCTGCTAGCTAGCGGGATTGTGGTTTTGAATCAGATTTGCGAAGCTATCACAGAAACGGTTTTGCTGTATCAGTTGCTGCGTCTCCACGGCTGACAGAGAACTATTTCTAAAGGAGTTTGTCATGCGCTGACTTGAACAGATTGACGACATAATCGAGACGAGAAGAGAACTTGATAATGCTTTTGGTTCGTACCGGCCTTCAATGGTTTAAGTCTTTCTGGTTCACTGTTTAGCAGAAGAACTGGATACAATATCATTGAATCAATCTTCATTACACATTACATTAATCGCATCCGTTGTGCTGATCCATTTTGATGCAGCATATAAAAGCCACGAACACCCATGAGTATAAATTGTTCTCGACAAACTCGGTAATTATTTCGCAAAGCATGTTCTATGCAATTATGTTGGAGGTTGTGCAGCAGTCTGTATCAGTATATTCGCTAAGTTATCCTATTCGCTGGACACGACTTATGGATACAAGCACTGAACTCATTTTATATTTAGAAAACCGGGTTGCCTACGGTGGCTGTTCGATATTTATTCAATTTATTGAACCAGGAAGAACACAAATTCATTCTGTTTAGCAGCGCGCTCATGACCAAGAGGTTTGAATAAATGCACAACTTTTGCCGCAAAGCAAAAAAGCAGTGCAGAATGAGAGCACTGTGAGCTCGAAAGCGAACGAAGTTTTTGAGCAAGGCAGTCATGCGTAGAGCTAATTCCATGACTGGAGTCTTAATTATCTAAAGCTATTGAACTGGGACCTTTTAGCACTGTTGTGCATTTATCGTATCGTATTTTATTTATTGAACGTACGAGAGCAAACACAAATTTCTTGTCCGATCATGCTTACATGAAGGTGACTTTTCTCATTCAATTATAGGAGATAATTCAAGCAATCAAATACAGCAGCACATACAAAACGTGGTTCCAGTTAGAAGCGTGAAGCATTTATAGACGTGTCCGGTAGAGTGGCTTGAATTAAAGTCGTTCCTCGTGTGCTTTGCGGTGAGTGACCTTCAGCTAATTTTAGCAATGACTTGAACGGGAATTAGTTTTGATCCCTCCAACGGTACTCTAAACCCTACTTAAGGATATTGCTTGGAATTGTGAGTCATGTAACAAATAAGCCAGTGTCGATCATCCATGTGTTTCTCCGAGCTGACAGTTTGTAGGAGAGCAGTCCGGATCGCAAGATTCTCAGTTGCTACGATAGCAATGATGATGAAACTGCATCGCTTCTAGTGAAATTCTTTGGGCGAATTATTGGCTTTGTCCTTGTCATATCGGCTCTAAAGTTAGTTGTTATGCCGAAATTGATTCCAAATTTGTTATGTCCACGACTGGATAGCCTGCTTGATGTGGTGACGTGGGTGGAACTAGCTGGCATTGACCTTCCCAAACATGACATTTGTGAAGAAACTGTAGCATAAATTTTGCGCGGAGATCGTTTCAAGAATGCGATTTTGTTGGTATGTTGGTAGAAACAAAGTGAACATATAGCTCGCTTTGCTGTGCTACCTCTAAGCCTACTGAATGTTTTTGATTTATATAGACCAATGAACAACTACCGCTATCCACGTAATTCTTTGTGATCTGATCGCTTGTCCCCTAAAAGTTTCGAGTGGTGTTATCATAATACTCTAACTCGCTGCTGATGCTGTGTACGCTTACTGGCTTAGTCTTGATAAATGGCCTTCCGCGTAGAAAGTTGAGCTCTTGACTCCGAATGCCTTGGTAAGCATATTCGCAAGTTGGTTCTTCGTGTTGACGTAGCTGATTCCGACACTCCCGTTTTCAACGTTTTCTCTCGTGATATGTGGCTTGATGTTCACATGCTTCGCTTTGGCAGTGCTATTGCCCCTTGATTGTCTTCCTAGATTTCAGTAGCAGATTCCTGGTCCTTGTCCTCTAATATCGCGCGACATCTTCGGTGCATCAGCCAATGTGTGCCACGAACCCCTCGTTTTTGGAGCTCAATCATCTTAAAGAATTATCGGCACTCATGAATGTTCATAATTACACCAAAGTGCAACGTAAATTTCGTATAATTGCCCCCGAATTGTATGTGATGAATTTGTGCCAATGTATAAGAATTCAGTACACTAAATTACAATCAGTAAGATGTGAGCTACAATGAAATTTGCCCTTATTTGTTTTCATATGGTGTCCGCTCCACGAGCATTCACACCGCCTTAATCTTTTACTCCATTATCTACGTTTTTCCGTGCCTGCTTTTCGAGACATACTGCACCGGAAGTCCCCTCTCATGCGCAATAAAAGGCGAAGTGCCAAACAGGCAATTAAAAAGCACGGGGTTCGCGACCGACGCACTCAGAAAAGATATCGGTAAAGATTCCTAGGTATCCTCGGTGAAAACGGTCGTAGTGACTTCAACATCCTGACCATGCAACTGTATCCTCATCTGATGTTATATGGCCTCAAGGTGGGCGCCATCACTGCGCTCAGCCTCCACGCTGCACTTGAGGATTTTCCATAGGCGGAAACTGTTGCGACATTTCGCCGTGGAAATCACGATAATATCCAGCTGTTCACCAACGAGCTGGGCCTGGCTCGTAAAGCCCAGCTTGATTCATAGCAGGCGCAAGCGTCACGCCGACACTTGCCCGAATCATCTCGTCGCGATTATGGCTACAAACCGTCTGAAGTCGCATTCCACGCTGGTGCTGATTTTTTTGAGCTGAATACCAAGAGAAAAACAAGGTCAAGAAAGTCTCTCATCGAGCAATTTAGGAATTTCCTCTTCAGGGTTAATATCGTCCGTGCCTACAGCAGCAGCGACTGGGGAAAACTGCTTCCACAATGAGGTATGTATTTTTGTACTAGAAGGGGCGAAAGTGTCATTCGCCACAAGATTGGTTGCGCCTCACTAGTGGAAAGCACGCTGCGATCGGCGACCCTGCCTGTTCTCTAAGAACGGTAACAGCCAATGGTGCGCCTGATTATAAATGACCACGGAGGCGAGGGGAATCTGGCCGAAGTAAAACCTCATGCTCTCGTGGAATCTCGATTAAGGGTGTCCCTTCCACTTCACCGGATACATATATCACCTCAGGTGCACTCGCCGGCCTGCTAGCCTCTCTTCGTCGAAGTGGAAGACCCGCTGTGAATTTAGTAGTGCCGGCTGAGGTCGATCCTCCTTCGATTGGCTCTCGAAAGCTCTCTTGCTTGCGGCGACACGCTGTTTTTCTCCGAAGTGCGTCCGGATCTGATCTCAGATCTGCGGTATGATTTTCGCCATCGCACTGCTTATATTGAGGCAATCCTAGGACTTGAAACCGCTTCGCTGCTTTGAAGCAGATGATGGCGTAATCTCAGAGAAGTTGATGCTGCTGCTCTGTCTGCATCAGGGGCCTGACTGGCTACTACGTGCGAAATTCTGCTATGGCTTTGGTAAGTCGATGTACAACACATAATATGTTTGCATTTATTTGCAGGCCTCTCTAAATACGGAATATAAGGAATATTCCGTATTTCTACGAAATACGGAGCGCGACCGGAACAAAATACGGAAGATACGGCATTTTATTGAAAAACGGTGCTAATCCTCACTGATTCTTCAATAAAGAGCGA